TGAATAAATGCATTTAAATAATAAACGTAAAAACTCAATTTTTTGAATTGTCCAATACTCTTTCCTTTCTGACTTCAATACGTTTGTTAGGAAAAAGTAGCAATGAATACAGTTTTTACTTTAATATTTTTTAAAATTTGTATTAAAAATGCAAAAAATAATTAATTTTTATTTTTGTTATTTATGCTTAGAGTTTATAACCTCGATTGGAATTGCAATGATGTATTGATGAGATGATATTCTTCGGTGTGACATTCTCCACCTTCTACTTTCCTTTTCACCGATATATTTGCTTAGTAAAATACTAGGAGTTTTATATTGTTTTTAATTTTAAATACATAGAAATAAATAAAAACATAATATTTTTGCCCACTAATGATTGCATCTCACTATTGCTTTAAATATAACAAAAATGTGTCTTATAAAAAGATTTGGCAATCATGTTTCTTTCATAATTTTATACACATATCTAAACAGTCTTGTCAGGCGGTGTTAAGATAAACATCAATCACATTTTGTATTGCAAATTTGCCAAAAGTTTTTCAAGTGGGAAATTCTTCTCGAAAGATAAATGTTATTAATACGAAAACCTCCTAAAATTATAATGATCGCATTAGATCATTTTGAAAGAAAATTTTAAAACATATTTACATTCACATATATTATTTTGTTTACACCTATATCAAATAGAGACTCCCCTTTTTATCTGTAAATAATTTCTCTTTATTTACTTAAGATTAAATATTAACTTTTTTTATATACTATTTTTCCTTGTATGGTGCCCTTCGTATCTTGTGAGAAACATATTTTGTCCGTGGTTCAAGGGATGTTTAATTGAAAAATCACAAGTGGTTATTGTTAGAGCTGTTAATATCTCAAAGTGAGATAGAGGTTAATAGAGAGGTTATACCAAAACTTACGAATGGCTACAAGAAATCAAATACTAATATTTGTAAGGTTATAACAATATTTATATAACGGATAGCTCTGAAGAAATCAGGTATTAACATTCGTGATGGCTTGGGCGGTCGTAACGTTCTGTTGTCGCTCTCTACTAATGTTTTTGTGCTGTTATATAAAAATCTTTAAGGAAAATAGCTGTGCATACTATCTGTCAGTGTCTAAAATGGATGAGACTGCTACAAATACCTAGGCTCAGTGTTTAGACGTCGCCATGCAAAAAGAATTTGACTGCCAACTGCAATTGGTTAACACATTCTTCTTTGTATTTGCAATATCACTATCTTTGTAATGTCTATGGTCTATGTGAGACCCTGAAAAAGTTTTGGAAAGTGCTCTAAACCTGTGTTTAACCAAACATCACATAATTTCACAGAGTGTTGTTTCCATATTTTATTTTTTTGATTCAATAAAGTAAATTAAAAAATAGAATATTTATATATAAAAAAGTTCTAGTTTAATTGAGCCACCGTGACTAAACTTGTAATATAGTAAGAAATTGTTATCGAATGTAAATTATGTGAAATCGTTTATTACTAATTAGTTTTATAATTTAAATTCAAATGAAATTATAAAAATAGTCGAGAAATTTACTGCGTTGTGAATGTAATTGTTAATGCATTTCTCATGTTTATGATTGAAACAAGCTAATAAAGTTCTCATATCAGAGTTTAAATGAAAAAATTAAAACTATTTTATTTTTAAATTATATATTAAATTATTATTTGTTTATATAATTTTTGATAAGGAAATTCGAAAATCATGATTATTTCAAGTTAAGACTCTTTGAAAAAGATCATTTTATTTTTACCGGTGTTGATAAGTCACTGCGTATTGGGAAGGCATGTCATAAGACTGCTTCTATTAATTATTGCCCATCACTTTCCTCCACCTCATGTGTGATTGCTTATCACTGGCTAGAAAAAGACATAAAATGTTCGAAACTCTTTCTCTAACAGACTTGATAAAACTGTCATCCCTTTAAATTATGAACATAGCCAAGCTTATAGTCTTGTCGGATTAGTTTATACTTAAATGGAGGAGCCACGCTTATTACATTGAAGGTATTCGACTTTTTGGTGTATAGACGGCATCTTTTCGTGATATCACAACAGGCCATACTTTGTACTTGCGTGAACTATGGTGCACAAATCTGCTACTCCAATATTACTTAACGTATGTATTAGAATATGACCCAAAGACTTTTTTATCTCAGATGTTTAAGCTATAAACAATATAAATATATGTTTTGCTCTTACCCCCAAACTGATATTACAAATTTTAGGGTAACCGCTTTGGAGCCACTAAGATGATAAAAGCACTTAGTTGAAGAGACTCAAAGTTACATTGATTATGGTCTATTGAAAGGTTCAAAGAGCAACTGCTAACCTTTGTTTTTGTTGGTTTAAAGTACTAAATAAAAAGCTTAAAAATGTGAACAGATTACTGTAGAAAATTTCTGTTGAAACTGCTTATTGCATTGAACAAAATGATAAAATAAAAGTACCTCTAAATATTAAGCGATGAGGAAGAGAAATATATAATACGTTATGGAAAAATCCCCAAAGATAAATCCCCCTAAAGATATAGAAACAATAAAATTTCCAATTTAAATATTGTAGAAGTTATTAGTTTTGAGCCTTTGAATAAAAGATTTATTTTTGGTTAGAAATACGACGAAATCATAATGACGTAATTAAAGTGTATTATATTTCAATCCTCAAATGAGTAATAAAAATTTCCGAAAACTAATAAATTCGAAAAGTCTCACATTGGAACCAACAGTCAATGTCTAACAGTCAATTGCATGGCCCCTTCTCTGAATTATTTTTAATCAAAATTCGATTTGCACAAAACTTAAAATTCAGCACCGCATTTTGACATAATAAACTAATTTAATGGCACGTACAATTTGTTGTGAACCAACTCTGGTGACAACCAAAGTGACAACTCCGAATCCAATAAAAAGATTTAAAAGTTTTAACAAAAATACGAGTAATTTGAATAGAAATTGGCTATTTTCATTGCGACAGACACACCTTGTATTTCAGTTCATTCCTTGTAAGTTGGGTGTACTTCTCACAATAAAATTAAAAAAATTTAAAAAAATTTTCTACGCGTCTGACTTTCAAAAGAGTTAATTTTACTGCTATTTTATTATTTTATTTTAATTAAAAAAAATCATAAAACAATGCATGTATGTAAATTGTATGTATGCATGCATGCACGTATATGTTTGTAAGTAAATTATGCAACATTTCGGGCCAGTAATTTTATTTGCATTTGAAAAATTTTGTTTTGTATTTTAATTTTATATTTTTTATATTATTATTTATTTTTTAATTTTAATATTCTCGGCAAAGGTGATGAAAGTGGTACGAAATACTTTGAATTTTACAGATATATGTGTTTTACCTAAAATTTCTGTCACGTTTTTGGTTTATATGGTACGTCACCTTGTTTCACATAATACTTATGTATATATTTTTATTTATTTTTATTCGTATAACATTGTTTTTAATACCAAAATGTTTAGTTCAAAATCTTTCAGTAACTATTTTAAGTCATTAAACATAACATTATTAATATATTTCATATCTTATTTTTTTACTTACGAATATATAACAATATATTTCTAAACCGAGCTACATTTTTGATATACGCAAGCAGATATATTTTATATATATACATACTTTAGTTAAATCAGTCTCAATATAAATCTTCATCTATGGTATATATATATAATCTGTTACAATTTTATTAATCTGCACTTATTCCTACTATACTCTTATTTAATATTTCCAATTTCGAAGCGGTTTTTAGGAAGGCTTACAAGTTGTTCTTCTATAAAAATATCTCTTCGTCTGATTTTCATTTTGATTGCCGCGAAATAACTTTTCTGAGGTAAGAAAAGAGCCAGAAGTCAGACAGAGTTTAATATTAATCAACTAACTGTTGCAATAGGTGCCAAATGGTGCATTATTTTGAGTTATCATTTTTACATATATTTTCACAAAGAGGTTTTTTCGAACAGTAGTGAACTACAACAACAAAAATTTATTTCATATTATTTTAATTAATCGAATTTTTGGCTGACCAAACAGCTGTTTCGAGTATTGCCAAATACCCATCATCAGTGGTCTTGGAAATAATACTTGCGACATAAACCTAATAATATTATATCTCTTGTGTGTGTGTGTGTAACTGGACATTGTCTACTGTTAGGTTTGGATAAAGCGTTGTAGTTTTAATTGACAATTAAATGATTTTTCTAAGTTAAGAGGAAAAAGAAACTATCAAGTTCTCACCTATTGTGCAATTGTCATACCTTGGAAGGATAACAATAAGGCTACAATTGTGGGAAGACCCTTTTATGAGGATCCAAAAGAATAATCACATTGATTTAAAAGTCGTACAAAATTGTTAGAGAAAAAAATTGATTAAAGTGATGTAGGTAGCTCTTTACTTAAGAATATGTATTACAGAAAACCATTAGTAAACCAAATCACTAAATGGGAGATATCTTTAAACAAGACACCTAGGGTAGCGCAAGGACTCGTAGGCGGAAAACGGGGAGCTTGTAGCACACACGATTCTAAACCTAACTTCACCAAACCTGTGGAAAATATTTTTATTATCAGTGCTGACAATTACAAAAAAGTGAAAATTCTTCTTTTATTTAAAATACCTTTTAAAATGATCTAATATATTTCAATTTTTTAAATGCAAGTTTATTTTCTAATATATATAATTTACAAAATAATACAGCAGCAAATATTTTTCAAAAAGTTGATCTCAGCCTACGGCATTTATAATGCAAAAGCGAACGATGACGTTCCTTTTATTGATTGTTCGTATAGATGAAGTCAAGATAAATGCAAATTAAATGCTCAATTAATCAAGAATGTGTCTGCGATTAAAAACATTCAGTTATTAATTAATAAAAGCTTGTAATTGACTTGATATTATTTAACTGATATGAGATAATGTTTTGCAAATTTAAAACAATTGTCAATAACTCAAATTATTTTTTTTTTCAGAAAAATCACTTCTACTGTTATGTGATATATATGATCAACAAAAAGACATCGATGGAACTATGTAAGGAGCAACGTGAATGGTTCCAGGTATGCAAATCTTTTTGAAACAAAATATTAATAATACAAAGAAAAATTTTGTTAAATATTTCATTTTTATTTAATTTGTTTAATTTTTTATTTTAGGGTTTACAAACTGAAATCAATGATAAATTGGGCATTGATAGTTTCTTGGTACAGCCCATACAAAGACTGACCAGATATCCTTTGCTTCTGCAGCAATTCATATCTGTAAGTATAAGATACATTTATAAGATCTAAAAATATTAAAATAAAAAAAAAATCCTTATGATACCTCGTTGAATGGATCAAAGATGTTTGTTAGATGTATTATTAAGATGCATCACATATATTATAAATTTCAAAGTCCTCTGGGATGTGATATAGTTTATTGTTCTATGTAATTTTGGTTGAAAGAATCAAATATAAGAACATGCAAGTTTCTCTACAGATTATATTAATATAAGGATTAAAATGAATTTGATGGTATAATAAATTTTTTATTTATTTCCTATATTTTATTATTAATTCTCAGTCTTAATAATAAGACTGATAACTTATAATTAAGTTTAATAATAAGTTATCAGCCTTTGATTATTAAGTCTGATGCAGAAAAAAAAATTTAAACTCATTTAGAAGAGAAATAGAATGAATTTTTTATTTTATGAATTTGCTATTTTATAAATAGAAACAAGAAAAAGATATGTGGTCTCTGTTATTCTGACAGTTCCCTTCTAACACAATACAACACTTCGGAAATAACGTTGGAAATATTCGCGAGATAATACATATTTAATGTAAAAGATGACTAAGATACGTTAGGCCCCTTCGTGTAGTATTTTGGAGTGTGACTGATAGCAAGTTAATGTTTATTTTCTACAAGCAATGCGAAATGTGTATCTAGTACAACAGGATACAGGTGGTCACAAATTTGGTTCACCTGGTGGACTTATGATTCAATGCACTCAATAAACTTAGTACAAGATTTTTGAATATCCATTTTATTAATTGTGTTATTTCCTTCATTCCAAAACTATATGATTTGATTTCTCATCAGTAGTATACACGCGAAAAAATATTATATATTAAACTAAAATAATAATAATAATAATTTATAAAACAATACTTTCTTACAGGAATTCTATAAAAGTGGTATTAGCTGCAAGCCTGTATTGGTTTCCGTTTGTAAATTAGAAACGCGTATGCGTCGCCTGTTAGAAGTAGTAAATCAAGCAGAAGAAATATCCTATATAGAAGATATAAACGAGGTAATTTTATTGTACAATTACTTTTTCACAATTTGTATTAAAACGAATATTTGTTTCCAGTTGAATCTTTTAGAACAAGGTAACTTCCGCAAATCAACAGAGCTCGACGCATACAATCATCGTTCACGTAAAAAGCACCGCGCAAAAGTATTCCTTTTCGATCGCTGCCTAGTTTGTGCCGAAATACGTAAGAAAAGACTAACCTATCGCCAACATTATGCTTGGCCCTCTGTTGATCTACAGCTGAATAACTCTAAAAGTGTTACTCTACTACTTAAGGCGAATACCAAGGAGGAATATGAGTTCTCTTCACCGGAAGCGACTTCCATAACTGCTTGGATGCGCTTCGTGCTTAGAGTTATGGAAACCTCACGCATTTTAGCGGAAAGAGAAGGAAAATTTTCATTACCAATGGACCTGGTATTGTTTGTAGCTCTTGCGGTTTGGCTGATATGGCACTATTTGTATTAGTTTTTATTGGGGTAGTCATTCGGGGGGTCAAAACTAACTATATATTTTATGTTTATTATTAAGTCTCCTATAATAGTGAAAATGTAAATATTTTAAGTTATTATAAAATGCATTATTATTATAAATTTCTTCATATTTTTTTATGCCTCGTTGGCTTTGGTCATGCATCGTTATCCTATGTGCTTCCACTATTATATATTTTCATGTGTTTTTATTGTCTTTTTCCCAGCTGTAGTCTTCGACTCAAATATTTGACCAAGCGTAAAATAAGTTTGCATACTGGCAAATGCTGTTCATAATAAACAAATTTATTTTTTACTCTACCAAAGAAGAAACTTGACAAATATTTATGATAAATTACATTTTTGGTAATGTCCTTGCTCACTTTGTCCTGTTGGCACTTCTGCATAAAAGCAAAAAGTAAATAGCTTCTTTACTATTTTATGTTGGTAGTTGCTAAGCATATGCAGCATTTGCAGCTTGGTAAAAAGCCAACTTAATAAGACAATTTCGCATCTTGGCGCAGAAAACAACAAATTACATATGTATGCAAACGAAAAGTCCTTGACATAAGTACAGTGGGCAAAAGTTAAGAAATTGTTTTAATATTTGTTGGTAGTTTGGATTTCTGTGGATGATAATTTAATGTTCCATTATTCCATTGCTTTATTTTTATCTACCGCTCAGATCAGAGCTTCCTTTATTCACATGGCTATAATTCGCTTATCTCTGTATACTAGTTTCGAGTTTTTCGTTAAAATTAAGTTATTATTTTAACTGTAATTAATTTTATATGAATTGTTAGTTAAAATAAAATTAATTTATTCTATGTACAGAAATAAAGAGTCCACAGCATAACTAGATATTAGATAGGATTCAAGATAACTAAAATGAGGCAATTACCCGGATTTCTTTCTTTCAGTATACTTCTTTTGACAAGTCATTATCGTTGCGGTAACTCATCCGACTCCATTAACTTTCTGATATCTTTCATTAATGCGTTCTTCCTAATTGTGTGTCATATACAGATTAATAGCACTTCATCCACCATTAAAACCAGACTTTTTAAGACCGCATTCAGAAAATCTTTATTTAAAAACGTCAATATAAGTCTCATTATTATCCAACTCTTCTCAACAGTTTAAATTTCGACCCAAACTATTGTTTCAGTTTTGGCTTATATTAATAAGGATCTCTAAATAGAAAGCATGTTATAAATTTCGTATTTTTTTCTTAATTTTTAGATTGGAGTTTTTTACATATCGAGTTTCACGGCTTAATGTCTATATTATAATACTTTGTTTGCTCTAGAGAGTGTCAAAATTAGTGGAGATCTTTTTTAATCATATTTTAATTATATGCACATAACGTACAGCCCCCATCTTTGGCTTCGATAAGAAGTACATAGATCATGAGACCAAAATATGGATCCAACAAAAAATCACAGAATATTGGAATGGCATTGACAGCCTAAATTACTCCAAAAAATTCTTGAATTTTGATGCCAAAAGAACAAACATCCTTATCAATCTAAACAAGAAGAGTTTAAAGACAGACCCCTCAACCTGCAATAAACACCTACACAAAATAAGTATATCCAGCACAATTATTTGAGGATTCTGCTGTGTTGAGGAAGAGTCTAAGGAACATCTGTTTACCAACTGCGATACACTAGGTCACAGAAGGCACATAACTCCAAAAGAGCTGTTTCGTTTACTGATATACGAAATTTCTAAATATATTGGGGAGCACCATAGATTAAGCTGGTTGCTGTGCTTAAAGGTCTAAGCCTAGGCCTTACCCATAATCCACTACTATACAAGTTACAGCTTACAATTTTTGATAGTAAAGCAATTGTTTGTTATAAGAAATGTCCTTCTGTTTGAAATTTACAAAGGATAATATCATATAAAGTTAAGGAAGTCGTTAGTTAGTTTCTTTATATGTTAACTTTTATTGTATATTTTTCCTTTGCTGATTTTCCGGTCAGCAGATTTCATGAAGACCAAGCCAAGCTAAAAAATACACAAAACTTGGTTTATGCACACTCAAAAGAAATACAAATAACTTATAGAGCACTAATGAAGACGCCTGCAAGTATGCTTTGAATTTTTATGGTTACTTCTAATTCTTCATAGTGCCTTTTGTGTCATAGATAAATTTTTCACAACAAACACAAACGAGTATGCAAATATTTATAGAGTTTACTTTACTCGCTTCTCTTTGACAATTTGTAATTTACATGCTTAAAACTGTTTATATGCTAAACGCATACAATGGCCAGCAACAACAGCAACAACAGCAACAGACCTGAGGCTCGACAACAACACATACTCGTGTTACAACTCGGCGGTACGAGTAAGTGACATTGTAGTCACATCGCCTGACACAACACATCACAGCTTGCTTCAGCTTCGCATCATCTTCATCAGCGTAAATAAATTTTTATATTTTTAATTTTGTGATGTCATTGCGTTTGACATAAGTGAATATGTAAACATAAAAAGATATTGTTATTTGTTTTTGTAAAATTGTTGCTGTTGCTTTCGGTTGGTTTTTTTTATTATCCTGCAGGATAACGCTGCTACTGTTATTTTTGCATGAATGTTGAAGTGTTTGTGCATGCGTGAATTTTAAGTGTATTAGTGTCTGTCATATTGTCAAGTGTTGCAATGTTCAAATTGTGCTTTTCCATTGTTTTTGTTGTTGTAGTTGTTGCTGTTGCTGTTATTGTTATTGTTTTCCCTCTCTCCCATCCTTTGCCTTGTTGTTGTCTTGTTCGTCATTGTTGATGCAAATGATTTGACATTTTTATGCGATATTAAATCACAATTATTTTTCTAAGTACATTTATAAAAATACTTAAGAACAGGATTTGACAGGATTAAATCTGAAAATATTTGAGAAAATAAATTTATGTTATTTCTTAGTAATTTAATGTAAAAATATTGTATAAATTTCTTTCTTAAAGAAGTAAAATATAATGATGTGTTTTAATTTTTATTCCCTCTTAATATTTTTTGCTTTTAAATTGATTAATTATTTATTTTCGCAATTTTGTATTGAAATTTAAATTTTTCTATTTGAAGAGATTTATATGAAGAGATTATTCAAAAAAAAAAAGAAGTTTAAAAGTTTATATAATCTTACAGATAATGTCAATACTCCGGATGAGGAAATTGAAGTTGCTTTTATTAAGAAACATGATGTCCACTCGTCATGACATGAACGATTGTTAACCGATTTAATAAAAACTGCTTTAAAGCTAAGCTACTGTACCTATTTAATGTAGCTATTAACTACTCTCCGAAAGCAGAAGTATCATTGTTTTCATTGGAGTTTGGAAAAAGTAAACAAAAAAGTGATAATTTTTTTATCATTTTGTTTTGTGGATAGGTTGAATGTTTTATGCACCGTCTCAGACCAACAGTCGTCGGTATCATTTGCCTGACTCCCTAAAATTAATAGGTAGTATACGGACTAAAACACCCCTTCTTCGGCGAGACTTATTTCCATTCGGGACCGCTTTTGATTACTTCGAGAAGGGTTCCCTATAGGTTGGCATTTCAAGCCATGCACTTGTGATTTTCGATCTGCGACCAGACCTTCACTTTTTCACAAGAAGTGTTATTTGAACGCAGTATATATATGATAAAACTGTCTCAATTCAATTTTTAGGGTGATCATGTCTTTTTTTCTCGATGCATACTATTGAAAAAAGTTTGTTTGATTGTTTTATTAGTAAGCATTTGTACTATGTGCACCAATTAGTACCTGTTTATAGAGTATTCTTGTTATGTTCCATTATTAGCATAGTATATTATAATTGAAAAAACTGCATATCACATCGTTTAGTGGCGTGCTTAAAAGATGTCGCTTTAGTGTTAAAACTCCAGTTCTTGCTATCTATATGGCGCACAATTTTGACTTTATATCAGATAGATATCTACGTTATGGAAACATATAAATGCTAATATTTAACAATACTAAAAATAGTTATTTTTAGAGGCCGTATTTTCTTCAGAGTTTGCCTTAACACTTATATTGTTATTCTTAAATCATACACATTAGTTTTCCAAAGTTCACATATCTAAGAAAACCAATTAATTCTCTCAACATTATTTAAAGGTAATAACATTATATTCTAAATAGAATTATTTAGCTAACATAGTCAACAATAGAACAAAGATTCTTAATAAAATTTCTATTATTAGTTTATCATTGTTATGTGTATTTTATGCATTTCGTTTATATTCAAGAAAATTAGAATAAAAGCCTTAAATAAATCGACATTTAATGATTACTTTACGTTTAATACAATTTACTTCTAACATTTATTTTAAAATAAAAAAAAAACGTACACAACTTTAATTTCTGCGATGGTATTTTCGCAGAATTTTGCAGAATTTTGCATAATATAGATTAATGTAAGTAAATTGCCTGAGAATATGAAATGCTCTTAAGAAAATCATTAAGCATTTTGTTCATGTTTCATTTGATAAATAGAAGTGCAAAATAGGACAAGAAAAAGAATTAAATTAAATAAAAAGCGATGGTAAGAAAAATGTTATATAAATTTTCGCACGTACACAACTCAGGCATCAACAGTTGACAACATATTTACCAATTTGCACTAAACATATTCACCCTCTTCACCCTACACCATACAGCCTATTAAACACGGTCTAAAGTATGACTTGCTTAAGATGTATTATAAGATATAGAAAGAGTATAGTGAAACAGTGGGTAAGAAGAGGGTAAGAATTTTGAAGAAAACAAATAAATTTACACACTCTGCCTAACGTAATTTGCACAACTGTTGCTAATCCTTATTTATGGACACAACCCCCCACAATGCTTTTCACTTCCAATAAGTTTTCTTTAACTGAAGGCATATCAAGACCTAGAATTCATAGAAATTTTCTACTAACATTTTTACGCATTTTAGACACAAATTTCATTTATTCTTTCACTTATTTTTATCTACTTCATTACATTTTTACATTTCCTTTGCTTTTTATACTATATTTTTCATTTATGTATGATTTTTCGTATCCAAAAAATATCTCAGCATACTTCCAGGCAATTCATGATGTAAAAAAAGC